TGCTATTATTAATACTGCTAAAGATAAATAAAGTAATTTAGTTTTGGTTTTTAATTTAAATCTAGACAGCATGAAAACTTCGCTTAAGAACTAAACAATACCAAATCAGAGCTGACTTTATGGGTCTTGGTTTGTATCCAGACACGGTAACTTTATGTCAATCTTTTTAAACTTGATAACGTCCTTGGTACTGCCGAGGCTTTGACTTTCCGCGATACAATATGGACATTTTCCTACTGTTATGTTGTTTTCCAGGTCTGGCACGATCAATGCTTGAGTCTTCTCTCTTGTGCTGACATTCTTGTATGTTTTCCTCAAAATATACTGTTGTCTGTCTTTTCTTTCTCCTCCACTGTAGAGCGTTGAGTGCAATGACTTTAAATCCGGCATGGAAACGTGCTTTTTCAAAGGCAGTTTCAGAATTTCTGGCTCTAAGCCGCAGATGGGAGTGTTATTGTGTTTTCGTCTTTCATCATTCGTGATAAATTTAGAGTTTAGAGTTCTCTGGAAGAGAATAGCTCTTTGTATGGTCATTTCGGAAACAGATCCCGTTTGAGACGAGGTTTGTTCAGGTTTGTTTTGTGCATTTCTGAACTTGTGCAGTCGAGAGGGAGGAGATCTGCAGCGGAAAGCTGGGGACGAGTAACCCACTCTCTGACTGTGCTCCCCCGCTAAACTCCACTCATCTCTGTCTTTTTTTTTGTTCATATTCATCCCTCTTCTCTTGGACGCGTTTTCCGTGTTATTTACATACCTAACAGGTTTATAGTTCCAGCTTGTAACTTGAGGTGAAGAGCTCCCGTCTGCCCCAAACACAGAAGGCATTAGTGTAAAATGTACCCTCCGCTTTGCAGCCCGAGATACACTCGGCTGCGTTGAAAGTTGAGTACAAATTGACATCACATCAATGGCGGGGAGGACATCTTCAAAAGAATCGCTTCTACTTCGGGACGTGTATTTGAACTCTTGGACATCAAAATAGGGTGACATTTGCTCTATCCGGCTCTGACAGACTTCATTAGATGAAGGCATCGGCTCTGAAGAGAAGGTCATTTTTAGACAGCTTACAACAAGACCACTGCTGCTCGAAAATGTAGGATGTAAGCTGAGAATGATTCCTTACTTTGCTTATTTTAACTGAGTCAGTCGTTTCTTGAAACTAGTCGACTCTAACTGTCCTAAATTGAAATTTCGCGGCCAGTTCGTCGACTTGGATTACCCGCACAAAACTTTGCCTGTCCAATCCTAGCCCAGCGTAATTCTTTACTAGCTACTCGTCGTAGCCGATCGTAGCCCTGCTTCACAGAACTAGCCAATTGTGGAAAAGTGTTGTCTTCAGGTTAGTTATTCCCAGTTGCACAGCGCTTGTTTACTGTCCAGATATTGCGCGTATATTCTGTTTCTAAGAGTGTTCCGCACCATCTATAAACCTGGTAATCCCCTACATAATTAACTTTTGTGGGAGGTATTGAATCGAGCCTCAGTGAAAACACTTTCGTCTAAAAAAGTCAATTCATGATATCTTAAAAGCAAACAGATGATTGGATAATTCAATAGAGCTTTGATCAACAGCCGACGGCACATTCTAGACAAAGAAAAGTTAAATTAATTTTGGATTAAAGGGAGCTATTGAGATTGGTTTTTCTTCACGCTTTCTAATCGACTTTGTTTGTTTATTAAACAGCGTCTTATGTACCGACGAAGTGCAGAAATCTTTTTATATTGGATAGCGTTGCACTCTAGATATGATACATTTGTAGTTTTTCTCGCGAGGTATTGCTTCATAGTTCGAACTTATTTTTAGTCCACTACAAAATCTTTCCTTCCAAGAATTAATTCCACCAGTAGAAATGCGAAACACTAACTCTTTCCTGGTCCCAAGGCCTCGCCGTTCCCTAGGAAGTTCAAATTATTCGAACCAATCAAATTGATTGGCGTGTTTGTAAAAATATTAACCAATTAGCGCCGTCAAGGGTCAGATTCTGACCCTCTCGTTTGCCTGAAAGTGATATTTAAGTCCAAGGTAACCAAAGGTTTTCCTCTTCCTCTCCACGTCGAGCGGCTTTTCTCTCACGCGCGAAGAAAATTTCAAGAAAAACATCTGGGACCAGGGTGCGCTAACTCGCAAATGCTTGCAAATAGAGATTCTTATGACTCGCAACTTCCGAAAACTACTCACATTTTCCGACTTTGCGGGTATTGATTTAAAGCCCTTCCCTTGGAAAACGGGTAGGTTGATACGCACCCTTCCTTAATCCTTGACGCTATTTTAGGCCAAAAAAACGTGATTTTTCATACCCAAGGTTACACTTGCATAGCTGTTTCAAAGAAGAGGTGGAGGTTTCATAACAGTGTTAACAAGTAGTATGTATACGCTAGATTAAAGCAAGGGATTTTTGCCAAGGAAAACGGGCTAGCCCGGTTGCCCGATCGTTCAAAATAAAACTACAGTCAGAGAGCTCTCTCTAGGAGGGAGACCTTTAAGGTCTCTTCTAAGTGTCCGTTTTAGACAGGTGTCCGTCGGTCTTGTAGAGAGTTAAAGAAAACGAACGGTAGGAACTTATTCCAGTAGTCTGTTGCAGACGATCAGGCGTAGCGCGGGAAAAAAAACTTACAACTTTCACATTGCTCATAATACTCTTTGTTTACTGCTTAAACTTTGCATAGGAATTGTTTTCAATTTCACCTGGGCATTACAGTCGTCCTAGGAGAAAGAAAACCAATGTTTACGGGGTGCGGGGCAGTGGTAATCAAGGTGTATTATGGCGATGCAAAAGTGGCTTTTTGAGCCAAGAGCAAAAAAACTGGGGAGACTGGAAAGAGCAGCATCTCCCAATCCCCGCTCGTTTTTTTCTTTCTCGCTCTATTTTCACCCAGGCTCCACTCTCAGACTCTGAACATTAGGAACACGCTAAACTCTAGTGGTCGGTTTCTGAAACGAAGTCTATTTTAAGCCGCGGTTTAAGAAATCACTTGACCCCCAGATCTCTTCCTAGATAGTTTATTTTACCAGAATCAATGCTTTTCTCGTCTATACTATACGCGTGGAAAAATGTACACCATAAATGGTGTCTAGATAAAAGCGTTGCCAGCCCTGGGTGTCTGTGTCCACGGTCTTATAGAAGTATCCGTTAGGAGATAGTTGTCTGTAATTAATGAATGTTTCGTATTTAAGTTTTGAAAAGCATGTCAGTATTTTGCAGCCGTATGCCATTCAAGTCCACTCGAGCGTTTAAACAATGAATCAAATAAAAATAATGCCTTTTCTTTGACGCAAGTAAAAACTTTCACTTGTAGAATGAACTGTAAACAGAACAATGACATGTTAGAC